AAGGGGGTCTTGTCTGCAGTGGGAAGGCTGGAGGTGTGGAGAGCCCATGCTCAGCTCCTTACCTCTCCCATGAGCCCCACAGCCTGTGGCCTCCCATACACCATTACCAGGCAGGTCCTCACTGCACTGGGAGGCCTGACCTCGCTGTTGTCACTGGAGTCTCTTCCTGAGGGAATAGCTGGGTGACTTTGACTCAGAGAAGGGGCTTTAACCTAGATGGTGTCCAGCCGAGACCCCCTTCTAGCATTTCTGTTAATGGATGGAATCAGACACTGCATCTCCCCTGCCTCCTTACCGCCCCGCTGGTTTCGGGTTCCTGTCATGCCCTCTCTCTCCCCAGGACTGATGTGGACCGTGGCACTGGGCTAGGGCACCCAGCCGAGAGGGCAATTGGGGCCTCAAAATCAGTCCACACTCTGCTCAACAAGCCGTGTGTCCTGCTGTGTGCCCTGCCTGACTCCGGGCTGCGTCCACCCAGAGTAAAGAACTTTTTTCTAGTTGTTTCTAAGGCACAGTCCGTACGCTTCCTGGACCCATGCACACTCCCTCCTCCCCGTCCCCAGCCTCAAATGAGGGTCAGAGGGCAGCATTTACAAAGGGCCTGGAAGGGAGTAGCAGCTGCGCTTGGGAGGCTCTGCGTCCCCAGCCCCCTGGTGCTTTTCCCCTCCTTATCCATGCTGCGAGTTGCCTCCCGAAATTGCTCTGCCATCATTAACACGGAGGATTAGGTCAAATGCGAGCGTGTTTGCAGCCTTAGATGCAAAGGCAAAGCGCTGATGCTGATTATTCTAGCTCTCCATGCCGTCCTCACAGCTCTTAATCACAGGGCCGAGAGCGGCGGGAACATGGGGTGGCGGGTGGGCCAGGGCCAAGGTTCCTTCTAATCCTGGTGCCAGGCCCTAAGGGCACGTTTGCAGCCTGGTGGCCCATCACCATCTGACTGGCCTGCACATCACAGGTAACCGTGGCTACTCTACTTGGCACTATCCTTCACAGAAGAAATGGCGCGTCCAATGGCAAGGCCAGTGGTCTGCTTTGAACCAGTACCAAAGCAACACATCTGAGCATTGGACTGTGAGTGTTCCGGCCTGGGCCCAATCAGCAGGGTTTGCATTCTGGGGCTGACTGGTGGGCCAGGCAGCTGAGAAGGCTGGTCTCTCACCTCTGAAAAGCATCCGTGCCTACAAAAGGCCAAGCCCCATGACCCATCACACCTCATACCTCCCTGGCCTCACCTTCAATCTCTGCCACCTGCCCCAGGCACAAACCTCAAGCCCTTTCTCAGGCCGGTCCCTTGCCAAGAATGACTTCTCAGCCTTGGCCCCCCAGTCATGGTTGCTCTCTGTACCCTGGCCCTCCCCCTCACTTTTACCACTCCGGAATGCCCCAACTCATGTCCAACTGGCAACCAAAAAACCAAACTCATTGCCATCGAGCCGATGCCGACTCAGAGTGACCCCACAGGACAGGGTAAACCTACCTTCCAGGACTGTACCTCTTTACGGGAGCAGAAAGCTCTTTCTCCCACGGAGTAGCTGGTGGTTTTGAACCTCTGGCCTTGCAGCTATCTGCCTAATATGTACCCCCTATGCCACCAGGCTCCTGCTGGTACAATTGCTAGTATTGGCTTTTATGATTGTTGTTGTTGCTTGCAGGTGTTCTCGGGGTTCTGGATCCTCATTGCCACCCCATGTGGGTTAAATCAAAAGTATTCAGGACTTAATCCCACCAGAGTTCAACCCTGAGTGGGTGATTGAGAGCAGTTGGTGTCCACATACCTATCCATCCCAGGTCCCTCATGAGCTAAGGTGAGCTAAGCCTGAGGGGTGTTCTATACCGTCTCTCAGGTCCTCCAGTGGGGTTGAACCCCAGTAGTCCACCATGAAACTGGTTGGATAATTCAGCCTTTATTTATTGACTGCCCTACCTTTCCCATCTCACCTGTGCACTCCCCACGCCCTGTCTCCTTAATCAGCCAACTAAACTCACTGCCACAGAGGCCATGCAGACTCATGGCCACCCCGGAGGACAGAGCAGAATGCTCCCATAAGTTTCCCAGGTTGTAAGTTACATTCAAATCATTGCCCCAGGGTCAGCTTCTGGGGCAACCACCTTCAGAGGTCATCCTTCAATGTCTGCTCACCCTCCTTTCCGCACTTGTGCCCAGACCCCCTCTCTTGCCCTTGTACTCTTTCTGGGGCAGAACGATTGGTTATTCTTCTGTTTGGGGGTTCCCCAGAGCTCTCCTCACTGTGGCTCATCTAGCCCTATGTCTGGGAGACCCATTTGCCCAGGGAACTCTTTGGGGACAGATGTTGTGTTGTTTTATCTTGCTTTCCTCTTTACTCTCTGCATCTAGGCAGGTATTAGATATATTCCTGCCAACAGTGGAAACGTGACAGCAGAGGAAGTTGAAAGGAACAGACAGGTTCCCGTATCTTTCTCGAAAGAGACAATGGAACAGCCTCTGTCACATTAGGTGGCATGGGTGGAACTTGAACCTCCTCACTCCCTTACTCACCAGCCTCCAGTGGCTCCCTACCATTGCCATCTCCAGCAGGGCTTCGCTGGGTTGGTGACTTTCAATACTCTTCATTATCTGATCCCATCCTGAGAGGCAGTCAGGCCTCTTGTGAAGAGACAGGTTTTGGTGTTCACTGCCTGGTTTCAAATTCTCCCTCTACCGGTTCCAGCTGGGGCATCACAGGCAAGTTACTTACCCTCTCTGGCACCCGCTTCCTGTTTATCAAACACGGGGAATACCACTTCCCTTCTGTAGATGGAGAATGACTTTGAGTATATTTCATGCATAGACCAAAAGCCACCGAATCGTGCAGATTCAAAATAGCGAATCTTAATATCTCAAAGGAAAATAAATAAAAGCAAGTATAGGCTCTGTCCCTGGATACACAGTTTTGAAAACGGAATGGCCTTGGTGAGGCATGGAGCCCTGCTGGCAGAATGATTGCTGGTCGGGGTGCTGATTGCAAGGTCGGCAGTTTGAAACCACTAGCCACTCCCCGGGGGGAAATTGGGGCTTTCTACTCCCATAAAGAGTGACAGTTTTGGAAGAACACAGAGGCAGTTCTGTTCTCATACAGGGTCGGTATGCTCACTGGCTGGGGGGTGGGGGTGGGGGTTGTTTTTCTTCCGTGGCCAGATGGTTAAGTGCTTGGCTGGCACTTGGAACTCACCCCATCACGCTCTCTCTTGGAGAGAGACAGGTAAATCTACCCCCACACAGATTTGAAAGACACCTAGCTCTCTGCCATCAAGTTGATTCTGAGTCCTAGGACAGAGGAGAACGGCCCCGGTGGATCCCTGAGGCTGGAAGTCTTTACCTAAGTGGAAAGCATCCTCTTTCTCCTTCAGAGTGACCAGGGGTTTCGAACTCCTGACTTGAGGTTAGCCGTCCAGCCCATAATCCACTATGCCATCAGGGCCTCTTTCCCATGCAGATGACAGCCTATAACCCCCTAGGGAGCTGCTCTGCCTCATGGGAGTCAGAATGAACCCCAAGGCGCCTAACAGCAGCAGCCATAGCTCAGCCGTTCTCCCAGTACCTCAGTACCAGCACCACAGCAGGGGCCCGGGAATGTAGGACCCGGGCCAGCACGCATGCAGTGTGTGGGGCGTGCAGACTTCCTAACCCAGGCCTGCGTCCCTCGGGCAGGACCAAATGCTATCCATGGTGGGTGGGTGCGGCTTTAGGAGCCCCAGCTGTGTTCAGGCGCTAGCTCCGGCATCCCAGTCCTCTGCCCCATGATGTTGTCTGTCCGGGGTGGTCCCAGGCCAGGAGTAACGGGAAACACCAATCCCAGGAATGTGTTCATATATTTAGCTTTCACTTACTCTATCTGTTGTTCTGGGAATTGCCTTCAAACGGAATCTAAACGCGCCCTGACGGCCCGGCTGTCCAAGGACAGGCCTAGGGGGAGCGACTCTCCGCGCGCCCAGCCTCGGCGCTGGGCCTCTCCCGCCCTTCCCCCGGCCCCAGACGCGTCCAGCTCCGCGGCGCCAGGCGGTGGGCGCGGAAAGGGAGGCTCAGTCTGCGAAGCCGAGACTTGCTTAGGAGGGGCTGCGGCAATCTTAGGGAGCCGCCTCTGCTCGGCGACCCCAGCCTAGGAGGGCGAGGTGAAGGTGGGGTAGGCAGTGGGTCGTGAGGGCCTTGGCAGGGCGGAGGGCCACTGGAGAGCCCCTTTCTCTTGGGGCAAAGGCCTTGGGGGGTACCCAGCAGGCGCGCCTGCTCGGTGCCAGTTATCTGGAAGCCTGGAGAGCTTGAGCAGCCTTGTGGCAAAAGCTTCTCAATCTGGGGACTGGTCCAGCCGAGGAGCAGTCACGACGGGCTGTGAACCCAGACGGAGGTCGCTGGCCTGGGCGAGGGAAACCGGGGGCGGGATGGGGTCGCCCACGCCCCGACTCTGTCTGGGCCTGGAGGACTTCACCTGAAACCCAGGCGTCCCCTCCCCCACTGGGGGACCCCCGCCTCCATTCCCCTAGAGGGGATGTGGTCAGTTTCCAGACTGGACCCACCCCGCACGGTGGGGCATACACTCAGCAGACACCCGCTCCCCACTCCCAGCTTCGGGAGTGCCCCTCCCCACCCCCGCCCTAGACTGCTCTTCTAACAGGCGCCCCTTGGTTCACAACCGCCCCCCTCCTCCAGTGCATGGAGACCCCTGACACCAGGTGGAGGACCACGCAGATCAAGATGCGCGGGGGCCGGGCCACCTCTAGTTGTCAACACCCGCTCCCCGCCCCCGCACCGCCCCCCTCCCAAATCCGGAGCCGCGTCCCCCCGCTCGCCAGGCACACACACACACCACACACGCACGCACACACCCAGACTCACGCTCACACAGACACAAGCACACCCGCGCGCAGACCCCGCCCGCTGCCCCGCCCGGCCCCTGCGGGCGCCCCCTCCGGCGCTCGCGGGCCCCGCACGCAGTCCGCCCTGGGTGCTGGGAGGCGGCGGCTTGGGGAGATTTGATTTTCCCGCAGCCCCGGCACCCCGGAGCCGGAGCTCGAGCCGAGGAGCTGGCGCTCGCAGCCGCGTCCCCAACCCCGCCACCGCCCGCGCGGAGCCCAGGCGAGAGGCGGCGCAGTCCACACGGCTCCCGGCTCCGCTCTGCCCGCGCCCGGCCACCTCCGCCGCCCGCGCCCCATCCGGCACCTCCAGCCCCACGCCCCTCGCTGGGGCTCCGGCGCCCCCCATCCCACCGCCCCTACTCCTTGCCCGCCGCCACGCGCCCCTCTTCCTGCGCCCCTCTCCATAGCTCCTCACGCCTCCCCTGCTGCCCTCTGCTCGCGCCCCTCTCTGCTTCTCCCCGCTGAGCCCTAGCACCCTGGGCACCTTGCCCCTCACCGCTGGGCCCCCAACCTCCTCGGTTTGCTGCCCGAACCCCTCCTCTCCGCGCTCCCCGCCCCCTTTCCTCTCTCACTTCCCACGCCCCCTCGCTGCGCTCCCCTATTCTCCCCTAGCTGCCCGGCCCCCGGGCATCAGAGTTAGGAGAGAGCCTGGGCTCCAGTCGCTCCGGAGGAGGCGCGAATCGCGCGCGGGGTAGACTAATTTGGGGTGTGGGGCGCAGTGGGCGATGGAGCAGCCCGAGGACATGGCGTCGCTGAGCGAGTTCGACTCCTTGGCCGGCAGCATCCCGGCCACCAAGGTGGAGATCACCGTCTCCTGCAGGTGAGCCGCTTGCTGGCCGGGTTCCTCCCCCCCACTCCCGGATGCCCCCATCCCGCCCCGCCCCACCCGTAGATCCGGAGCTCTGCAGCCCCGCAATCCCAGTCGCCTCAACCCTCAGCTGCTGCGAGCTCCCTTCCTTCATGGACGCCCACCTGCCCTCGTCCGCCTAGAGCCCCTGCCCAACCGCGGGTGGAACGGCGGAGAGGGGAGGACAGCCTTGGGGTCCCATCCTGGAAAGTTTGCCCGCCCGGCTGTTGCAGGGACGAGCTGGGGAGACGCAGGAATGGGGTCCAGAAGCCCGAATGGAGAGTCAGGTGGAGATGGTGAAAGATAAGCAAGGGTCTCCCCCACTACCCCAGGCTCTGATCAACGCGCCCCAAATCCGGAGGGAAGTGACCTGCCCTCTCCTTCCTCCCCCTTCCTCTCTCCCTCCTCCTCCTCTCTTGCCCACCCTGACCCACCCTCTTAGACCCCAGAATTCTAAATCGCTCTTTCACCTCCCATAACGACAAAGCTGGCCCAGGGAGCTGATCAAATGGACTCATTGATACCGTGGTGTGGATAAGGGGCAACGACCGAATGTGGTACCGTTATGACAAAGACGTTGGTCCAGCATCTTGACCCAAAGGAATAGCTGGATTCAGCAGGGAGGGGGAGGAGTATTCTTGTGAGCTCCCCTTGCAAATCCTCAGTCCAGGCACACAGGCGTTAAGGGGACCTAAGTCTGAGAGCTGAGTCTCCCCCAGGTTCCCCTCAGTGAGAGGAAGGCTCCTTGCAGCAGTAAGGCGGTCCTGGTGGAGAAGGAAGGATTCTTTCCTTAGTGCCATCACCCTGAGGCTGACCAGGACTGTGGGGCCCAGGTAGCCCAAGAGACCCTCCCAAGGGACCAGCAACATTCCCAGAGCCCATGCTGTGCTGTGTCCTGCATGCCACCTACTGCCCCAGGCCACTCTGGTGAGATCCTTCAGTCACCCTGTGGCCTCCTGCACCATCTGCTCATGTTGTGGCACTGTCCAGGTGTGGGTAGCCCAAGAGAGAAGCTGACTGAGGCGTGAGAGAGATGGGGCTTGGGTGTGACTCTCTCCTGAAGACTTGAAGCTGAGTGAGGACAGATAAAGCTGCCTCCCTCCTACCCTGTCAGGCCCTTTGTGGGGCTCCGATGACAACCCCCCCACCCCACCCCTGTGCCTCCCCGTGGATCTCACACAGACCACTGTCAGAAACATCTCCCAACACGATTTGCATCTTGCCATTACTCTGCTGGGAGACTCCTGATGGCCCATTAGCTCCAATCTCACCTCCTCAGCCATCAGCAGCTGCCACAGCATCTGCCTTCCCTTCCCTGCGCCTGACAGACACACGCACACCCCCTCCTCCGCGCCCCCGCCCCCCCCCATGCCCCTAGGTTTCAATCTTGCCCCTTGTCTTCATAGAAGGGCTCCTCAACTGGTTCATTCCAGCTCCACTTCCTGCTGGGAATTGGCCTTTCTATCCCAGATAAGAGGGATCAGAGTCACCTTTTTTTTTTTAGGATCACCAGGTGGTTCTTAAGAACACATTGTTCAACGACATCGATTCTGATTCCATAGATCTGGGGTGGAAGGGCTGGTGGGGACCTGGCCCAAGCCTTGCTTTAGAGTTACCCCCTCATCCATCCTGACTTCCTCTCAGAGTCTCTGCACAGCCCATTTCTCATTGAGGTTTCACCCCTCCTTCGTCTCTGCCCCCCTGAAAAGTCTGCCGCCTGCTTACCCAACTCCTGGCATCCCTTTCACCCATGGTACACACAACCCAAAGCACAGTCTCCCATGGCCCTCGGGCCCATGGGATCGCTCACATACTCTGAGAACTGAACCTTGTAGGAGACGCCACAGGGGTGTAGAGTTCCTCCCTCCTCCTCCAAAACAATTCCGCTCACTGGAGGGTAGGAACCCCCTTCCTGACTCAGACCCTGGGAGCCCTCTACTCCACTGGAATAGATAGATGGAGGAGGCAGATGGCGTGGTGACTCTGGAGTGAGACCTCTTGAGGGAATCTGCTCTACCACTAGGGACACGCCTTGAGCCTCAGGCTTAGTCTGCCACGCACAGGATGAGGAGCACCGCAAACTCTTCCGTAAGCCTTGTTCACAGAGGTCGCTCGGGAGCTCAGAGCCCTGGCGCATAGTGGGTGCTCACGACTCATGGGGTAGCTTGCAGGATTAAGGGATCTTGAAACGGCACATCAGTTCGTTCTTACTTAAGCACACAGTAGGTGCTCAAGAAATGGCGACTAGGATTGCCCTAAGGAGATCTGGCGCTGTAGTGGTGGCGCTTGGTGGCTAACAGTTGGTGGTTCGAACCCACCAGCTGCTCTGTGGAAGACTGCTCTGTGGCAGTCTGCTTCCGCAAGGGTTTGTGCAATGGGACCCTTCTACTCTGGCTTCTAGGTTTGTTACAAGTCAGAATTAACGGGGGACATTCACACAACACAAATGATTCTAGGCTGGCAGCCCTCCTGTCGATCCCTCCTGTCTGGTCTCTGGAACAGAATTAGACTTCTTGCCTAAGAGGTACCCAGGGATGCATATGGGTTCCTGGGGGCTGTGTTTCTGGGGCCAACCTAGGGGTGTGACCCGTAGCTTGGGGGCAGCCCTGCCCCTGCCCTCCAGAAAGCCAGAGGAGGGGGCAGGTGGGAGTTTCTTTGGGGTGGAGGGAGGAGATCGTTGGAATGAAAGGAGTCTGGATTGAAATTGTAGATCCGTCGCTTGGCCTCCACCAGGTCCCACTCTCCGAGTTCCACGACAGAGAGAAGGAGACGAGGACGATGGGGAAGAAAGAGAGCTACTTAGAGAGCCATCTCCAGCATGTTCTTCATTGCTGGTTGATGAGTCAAGCCTCCCACCCCTGGTCAGGGATAACCGGGATCCCTGAGCATCTTTGTGACACCTGCTGGTGGGCAGGGAACAAGGGACAGGTGGAGGTGTTGGAGGGATGAGAACTCAGGACTCTGGGATAGGCATCTGACGTTGAGGAATTCAGCATCTCGGGAAGATCTTGTGGTTCTCAGAAATGGTGGTTTCCAGTTTGCATCCCCGCTTAGGAAGGTCCCTGACACACCCCCAGCCTTGGGCTTAGGGCAGGGCCCAGCCATGCCTGTCCCAGGGCACTCTTGAGTGAGCACACCTGCCTGGTGTCGGGCTGGGCCTGAGCATCAGCCCAGAGCTGCTGGGGGTCCCAGCCAGCCATGTCACAGATGACACTGGCATGGACACACGTAGTGTATCTCTGTGGCTCATTTATCATCCACCCCCAAGTGATTCTCTTCACCTCGGTGAACTTGGCTGAAGATTAGAAGGCCTTGTTTGGCAGGCTGGTTAAGAACGTGAGTTCTGGTTTTGTCGGCTTGAGTTCCAATCTCAGTTCTGACCCTGGGTGTGGCCTTGCCTGAGCTCTTTCACCTGTTTCTACCTCAGTTTCCTCAACTGTAAAGTAGCATAATGAACCTTCTCACATACATTCAGGAGCATTACACAGGCTAGCCCATGAATGGTCAGCTTTGTTGCCTGTTTGTTGACAAAGGAAGCACGGCGATACTCTGGGTTAGGCATTGAGCTGAAAGGTTGATGGTTCAAACCCACCAACCACTTGGAGGGGGACAGATGAAGCTGTCTGTTTCTATAAAGATTGACAGTCTCAGAAACCCTATAGAGCAGCTGTTCTCAACCTATGGGTCGCGACCCCTTTGGGGGGTCAAATGACCCTTTCACAGTGGTCACTCGATTCGATTCGTAACAGTAGCAAAATGAGAGTGATGCAGTAGCAAAGAGAATCATTTTATGGTTGGGGGGTCACCACCACATGAGAAGCCATTAAAGGGTCTTGGCATGAGGAAGGTTCAGCACCGCTGCTGTAGAGGGAGGCTCTGAGTCAGAATTGACCCGATGGCAGTGGGTTGGGTTTGTCTGCTTTTCACTGTTGGCCAGCAGCCCCTTCGTGGCGAGAACTGGAAGAGCGCTGGGCTACTAAGGGGAAAGTTGGTAGTTCGGGTCCACCGAGAGGCGCCTCAGAAGAAAAGCCTGACCGTGTACTTCAGACAGAAAAGAATCTGCCATTGGGCACCCTGGGGAGCATAGGTCGACTAAGACACACGGCGGCTGGTTTGGCTGTGGTGACAGCTGGCAGTAAATAAAGATCCGTCTCTGTATCTGGGCCTCCATTTGTGGGGGGCCTGGAGATCGGATTCATTTAGATATTCTCAAGGGTTGTTTAAGGAGCCCAGGTGGCATCGTCGTTATGGCTTGGGCTGCCACCCACAAGGATGGCAGTTCAAAACCAGCAGCCGCTCTGTGGGAGAAAGGTGAGGCTTTCCCTTCCTGTCAAGAGTGACAGTCTCTGAAACCTGCAGGGCCGTTCTTCCCTGTCCGATAGGGTCACTATGAGACAGCGTCGACTCTATGGCAGTGACAAGGGCTGTTGGGGGAGAGGGTAGGGTGGGTGGTTTGTGGGGCCGAGCACGAGCGGACACCTTGTGGAAATGGTGACTTGAAAGACCCTTGCCCCAAGCCCCCAACCTCGCCTTCCTCGTGTGGTCTATTCTAGACCTTCCCAAACGTTGAGGGGGACTGCAGACCTAATCAAAACGTCTGTTTCCCAGTGTGCCCATACCCCCAAGGGCCTCTCCGTTTTTTTCAAGCCTCTCCATCCCGCCTGGAGCGGCCGAGTTCGTTAGAAAGGATGATTTTGACTTTTTATGTAATGGAAACCCTTCGGCAGGGACCTGCTGCAGATGCAATGCCCTGGTAGAAGAGTAGGACTCCACATGGGGTGGGGGAACTCCTGAGACCCCCGGGAGGAGGAGTCTGGAGATAGGCTGGTTGCTTCGCCCTGCTGGAATCTGCCTCAAGCAGCTGCCCCCTCCCCTGGTGGGGCTGCCAGCTGCCTCTGCCCTGGAGGCATTGTTTGGTGCTATCTGCTCAGGCTGGTATTTTGCTGCCTGGGGGCCTGAGAGGCTGCCCAGCT